ACAATTTTACGAATAACCATTGTAATCAACATAAATTAACTTCCCAATTTTCACCGTGTGATGCTTACCATCCATACACAATCGTAAGTAGCTTAAAGACTCGGGCCCAAATCGTACATCAATCCAAAATGGGTATCATACCTATCTTAACCACAAACACCTTTCAACAACACCTACTTAGTCAAACGGAAATATGAATAATCATTCAATCACGCCTCGGTTTCAATCAAGCTTTAGGACCACCGACAAAGTCAAAACCAAACTCATCAAAAACAAAATAAGTAAGACTAGATCCAAATGACCAAATTAAAGTTCCAGAAATAAACTTTAGTTCACAACTGCACCTAGGTGAGACCCCAGACTACCTACGTACCCTTACTGAGGGATAAAGCCACACGTAGTTCTTCAATTAACAATCACAATTAAGATAATATATGATTATTTAAAGTAATACCAAGGATTAAGGTAATACCAACGTCAAGGGTGCCTAGGTTCCGACATACCCAAACCATATCCACAATTTTCCAAGTATCCATCATTTCCAGAATCAGTGACCAAGGAAGCCCGCATGCCGGAAAGTCCAACGCCACGTGTGGGTATAGTGACCGGGGAAGGTACATATGATGGTGAGGTTTATAACCCTTATATAATATTCCCTTCCTTAATTCAATTTTCCCAAATATTTATTCATAGTATAGAAAATAAACTCTCAAACATATATTCTATCAAGACCCAAAAATAATTCAAATAGTAATCAACACTTGTTTACACATAGTTTCCATAAAATATTGTATCCCACAATTAAAACAATAGACTTTCATAAATAACCTGATCTTACCCAATCCATATACTTTATTAATAATCATAATAATATTAATTAATGATAAATAATAACATTTAGAGATCCCATATCCTCATTAACCCATATTGAATCAATTTTCAATCAAAACTCATTAGGTAAGAAATTACATATTAGAATAACGAAATACACTTAAAAACAAACGTCCACTTATTTACTAATAATCATAGCCGATACCCAAGACTCACTTTCACAACTCATCAATCAAGTATCTCATACTCATCCATTCCATAACTTCAATTATCAAACTAATATCCAAGAATTTCAAACGATACTATAAAGCAATCTCATAATTCCAACATAATCAACATAACTCAAATAACAGCCAAGGCATGTTAATAAAGTCGTTCTAATACTCCTCGAAGGGTGAAACTACCTCGGAAGACTCACAGTCAACCAAGGGGTCAAACTGCCCAAACTTGGTCAACGAGGCCCACGACTTCCGATTTCTGATCCGAAAGTTCCTACGGGTTCGTCATGGTTTGTTATACATGTCCTGCAAGTTTGGTCTGAATCGAACAGTCGGATCGCTCGCGATCGTACGATCGTACGGTTATCGTTTAACGCAAAATTTAAGTCATTGAATCGGGGTGTCTGGAACTCCGATTCATGATTTACGAATTCCTACATGATCCTAGAGATGCCTAGATCAACATATTTGAAAATGGAGTCGATCCAAAGGTCCGAACATATCAAATTCAGATAACGCCTCACATGCGTAATTCGATCGACAGTCAAAAGGTAACCAAATTCAAATTCGAGCATACCGTCGTGCTCGAGACGACATGGGGATCATTTTAGGACCCAATGGCCCAACTGCTCTCTGTGGATACGACACTCGGACTTCCGAGCTACACTACTATACGATACTATCTCCTTTGATTTTTGTAAAAGTGGTACGAACACAAAACAATGAGTGGAGTAACTTTTGTTCTTGAACAATGGCCAAAAAGTGACCTGAACTTGCCAGAAACACGAGCTGAAACCCGCTAAAACTTTAAGTGATAATTTGAGTTTCAAAACGCAGAAATTGATCCTATTCAACCCAACCATTTGCTAGAACACATTGAGATGATGAAAAAGCATACATAGATCGAAGAAATTTGTGGCGAGCTCCAGGAAATTTGAGTCAAAACTGGCCTGATTTTCGCTTTTTCCGGCGACCAGGCGGCGGTTCCATTGAAGGTAGGGTGGGGTAGAAAGAGGAGGTTGAGCTGGTTCTTTTGGGACCGGTATCACCCAATTTGGTTGTTGGATGAAGAGGTGGCCACCAAAAATATGATCAGTGGCTATTTTTGAAGGGGTGGTTGTTTCGCATGGAGAGAGAGAGAGAGAGAGAGAGAGAGAGAGAGAGAGAGAAGAGAATTTCAGGTTTTTAAAAACCCATTTCGAAATATTTACGATTTTACCACTATGCTTCCTTTTATTGTAACTTTTTCGTTACAACTCCGATTTGAGCCCACTACGTGTCTACGGACTCATCTCGACGCGATCTACGTCATGGTGCCATTCATTTCCCCAAAATCCTTCTGAATTTAAAAGTGACCAAAATGACCCTATCCCCCGGGGCAAAATCGTAATTTCATAATTTATTAACTTAATTAAATTAAACGAATACTTAAATTTTGGGTTAGGATGTTACATAATGGGTCTAAGACCCAAACTCTTCTTGACCGAAATTGACAAAACTAAGGGCTGAGGAGTAATTAGATTGAAATCTAAGCATAATCCTCGAACTATCTTGAATACACATACGAGGAAGAAGCCCTTTTAATGTCTTTTTGACGAAGCGTATGTCATCTTGTTCAAGCCTTGAGGGAAGGAGGTTTTGCCTGCCGCAAGGATGATATGGGAGAAGAGAGGGCTGCAGCCGAAGGGGTGGGGTGGCTGACCACAATGGATGGGTGAGGGGCTGTGGTGGCTATTGGGTTTTTATTTTCTCTTAATAATAATTTTTTCTTCTTCTAATTTTAATAAAAGTTAACAGTGTTAAGGTAGAGGTTAGTGGAGTGATAGGTGTCCAAATATCAAAGAGGAAACGCGGAGGTCACAAGTAAATTGGAAACATGAAAATTGGACTCTTTGGTTAATAATACTGTGTGTGACTTCTCCACTGGTCCATTCCTCTCTAGTTTTGAGGACTGTGCTTTCTTCATCTCCTTTTCCAATTGTCTTTGTAGGTTTAGGAAATCCATGAACCACTATATTCATCCAAAGAGCAAAGGAATAACTTCATTTTAGCCTTCCAAACACCATAGTTGTTGCCATCGAAATATGGTGGAAGTACAACTGATCCTGTGGTACATTCCATCCTAAGGTATGTTGGATCTTGCTTAGTGTGTTTAGCAACTTGCTCTGATACCAATTGAAATTACCTGTAGGATAGCTTAAAACACTAGAAGTGAGGTGAATAGTACATTTATAGATTTTAAGCGTAACAAAGGAATAAAAACACGCCCAGAGGATTGATAAGTGGTATCAATTCTTGAATGTATATAACGTAAAAATAAAGAACACACAGGAATTATTTATGTGGTAAAACCCCACCTCTGGGGAAAATCCACGGGACTCCTTAGTCCAAAACAAATCCACTATAGAATGATGATTACACAAAGTACTCACACACTTATCCTAATACACATTCTAGATAATGTTTATTGACTTCTTCGTAATTCAACTTCTCACGGGATTACTTCTTTCTCTCCTTATGTTGAATGAGATATTGGACACGATCAATTCAAACTCGCCGAAGGTATGAGGCACTTGTAACTTATGCAGATGAATGCAAATGTATGAAATGACAAATCACCAAGATAATCTTACTCTTAATGATCTACCCTTAAGAAAACAACATCAACTTTCTTTAATTGGTTGAAAATCAGAAAATTCACGTTGAAAGTTGTGTAGAGAATGAAGCATAGGCTTCCTTTTTATAGTGGTTTTTAAAAAAAGAAAGAAAACTAATCAGCAACTAAAATTGATAATCAAATATATTGATTTACAAAGAAGACTAATTGATCTCCAATCATTATGTCACAAAGAAATCAATTTAGAAAGAATGGTATAATGAAAAAGATGAATCCCAATCAAATAAGAAAACAAAGAAGACTTTTGAGGTGAAAAACTGGAAAGTAGTTTTTTGAATTGAAACAAACTTAAGTCTTCCCAATCAAACTTTAATTATTTTAAAATCAAAGCTGCAAACAAATCCTTGATTTGAAAACAATTCTAAATTCAGCACAATCAAGATGCATGATTGAATGATGATATTACCTTAGAAATCGTTGATTGAACTATGTGGCTTCAAATCAGAGCTTGGGATTGAGACATTTGTCATTCCTAATCTATCACAACAAGTTTACCATTTATATTGATCTATCTAAGGTCTAGGGAATGCCAATCACATAATCATACACTAACATGACTCACATTGGTCGATTGGGAATATGGAGAAAGAAAGGCCGAAACACAATTTAAAATTAGTGAGTTATCTTGAATGGTTGAATTGTTTAACAGTCTTCATTTTTAATCCTAAAATGTTCAAAAATCAATCCATTTGGTCCTTAACCTTTTGATGCACACATCAATTTGATCTCTCTTGTTTGGATTTTATTTATAAAAATAAAAAAAATAAAAAAAAAGGTCACTTAATGGTATGTGACCAACTTTAAAATGATGCTTTCATAAAAAAGAAATAAACCTCACATCCTATGCTCAATAAGTTCATATGTTCTCCTCAATGTAACTTCAATGTGAAACTTTGAATGAAGAGCATATGACCTTATCCAGCAAATAACATGAACTTTATTTTGTTTAATTTGTGGATGAGATATATTTTGATGAAAGTCATGTGACTAATTTAATGAAGTTTGATGGATCAAATTAGTATGTATACATTCACATGTTTTTTTTAATATAAGTTTCTCACACACACTACTACAGTGTTATGGAAATTCAAACTTGAGATTGAGACCATAATCTATAAGTCAATGCAGTTTTCCACTAAACTAGACCATGTTGGCAATAATAGGTAATGTAGACTATCAACAACAAATTAGTGTGTATGCGACAATATGGTCAATTCAAGAGGCTTGTGATAAAAAGTTTAAAAACGCTTCAAATTTGTACAAACCTCACTTTCAAAAACCCAAACCCAAAAAAAATTCAAAAACAACCCATTATTGAGAACAAAAGACCGGTAGGTCCGCAAGTAAAGATCCGTGTATCGGAAGCATAACTGGAATTGCTGAGAGCTTAGAACACAGTTTGGTGATTTGACCAAAACAGAACAAAAACGAAAAAAACGAACAGAACGGAGCTTGGTGGTGAACAGTATTTGGTGACAAGTAACAGTGATTAGCACAGCGAATTGCGAAAGAAGAGAGAATGCATTACTGGGTTCGAGCTTCTTCCTCTGATTTTGCTGGAACTCTACCCCAACCTCGCAGGCAAAAACTCTGTCTCTGTATCTCTCTTTCTCTCATATGGGTATATAGCTTTGAAGATTTTCCATTTGAATTTAGTTTATGCTTTGAATTCTCAGTGGTCACACTGCCGTCATTATCGGTGGATCGAAGGTGGTCGTGTTCGGAGGCCTTCTAGAGAAGAAGTTTCTCAGCGATATCGTCGTCTATGACATTGGTACTTTGTTTCTCACTCTCTATACATTTCATTGTGCTTTAGTCCGAATTTGATTGATATTTTCCTCTGGCTTCTCATGAATTCATTCAAATTTTGTAAATTTTACTCTCTGGAATTTCTGGGTATACTTGGTGTTACCGTTTTCACTATAGAATCTCATTTTAGGATTTGTTTTTTCTTCGCAGATAACAAATTGTGGTTTCAGCCAGAGTGCACTGGTGGCTCTGATGGACAAGTCGGTCCAAGCCCGCGAGCCTTTCACGTTGCTGTTGTGATTGATTGTCATATGTTCATCTTTGGTGGGCGTTCCGGTGGCAAGAGGTATCTTCACATCCATTACACGCTCTGCTCTATTACTCTGTTACTTTAATGCAAATGGTAGTAACAATGAAGTTCGGTTTCAGGTTAGGTGACTTCTGGGTCCTGGATACTGGTAAGAATCTATTTATTATATGCTTCTGACAATGCATGAGAACGATAAGTATGTGCTTATCAAAGTTGATCTATTTGGTTTGTTGCTTTTTCTTTTGCCTCCCTTTTAATTGCTGAGTATTGAATATGTGTTATATAAATTTAAGTTTGTTCTTGCTTCAGTTTGGAGAATTAATGTTAAGTTGGATAGAATGTTGTGGTAATCATTCTTTAGATTAAATAATACGGTATTTTTCTCTGCCTCAAAAACATTTATGTTTGTTCCAGATATATGGCAATGGTCAGAGTTAACAAGTTTTGGCGACTTACCTTCCGCACGAGATTTTGCTGCAGCTTCAGCAATTGGAAATCGGAAAATTGTTATGTGAGTATATTTGTTGCACCTTTTATTGATTAGGTGATGTTATGTTTCTCTATTAACTGTTGTTACGTAAAATGCAAACAAATGCAGGTATGGTGGCTGGGATGGTAAAAAGTGGTTGTCAGATGTGTATGTCATGGATACAAGTAATTTTTTCTCTATGATTTTTTAATTACACGTTATTTTATGCTTCATGTTTGGTTGAGAACATTTGTTGAAATGGTTGTAAATCAGTTATCTCTTGATCTTCTTCCTTAAACAGTATCACTAGAGTGGATGGAGCTGTCAGTTACTGGATCATTGCCACCAGCAAGATGTGGCCATACAGCTACCATGGTTGAGAAAAGGTTGCTTGTCTATGGTGGCAGAGGTGAAGTAGCATGCTTTGACTATGTTAATACTTGGATGTCATTAACCGACTCTTTATTCTAGTTTCACTTTTCTTTGCTCTCTCTCTCTCTCTAATTTATTTTATTCTATTTGACTTTTTTTTAGTTTGCTATGAGCAATACCCTCCATTATGGTAAAAGGATGTAATTTGTTACCATTTACTGTTCCTTCTAGATAATATATGGCACAATGTAACTAGAGTTGCATTACTCGTTTTCTTCCCTTCTATGTTCCAATAGTGGCAACTAATTTGCAGAAAGAAAACAGAAAAAAATAATAATAATAAATAGTGATTTAGGGAATGCTTATTTGTAAAAGTTTCTTTCATTATTTTGTCAATGTTGAGATAATGTTTTTTATGATTTTGTAATTCCAAGGTAAATCTCATCACCCCTAGAAGAAATTTTCATTTTCCACATGGGGTCTTCCCATGAAATTTACTTGTGAAGATAGCCCATTCTTTCCACGGGAAATCCCTTATTGCAGATCATTTTAGGGTCTATGTTTTCGCACTAGTCATTTGGGGCGTTCCTTATTAAGTGATAATACTACTACATTGTATCCGTAAGCTTTTTGAATGCTTGAATAATTTGGTATAACAAACTTCTACAGTTTGACTGTCCATATGATTACCTTGAACTGTTTGATTTAAAGTAACAGGATATATGAATTTATGTTTGTTTGTTGATATTTGAATTTATTTTTTGTTTGTTAATATATGAATTTATTTTTGTTTGTTGATATATGAATAGTAATCTAATCAATCTCAAATTCACTGCTGGTGCTGCTTTTGTTTTTCTTCCTCTTCTCCTTTTCACTCTTTGTATAGCTCATATGTATGTATGCCAATTTTTGCTTTTCTGTGTAAGAACAAGCATTAGATGCTTGGGTTCATTTTAGTGGATTTAGCGGCTTTTAGCTGACATGAGTACTCGTCTTGCCTTTCATAGGAGGTGGAGGTCCAATCATGGGTGATTTATGGGCTCTGAAAGGTCTAATCGAAGAAGGTTAGCAGTTAGTCCCGTTTTTATGATAGTCTACTACTTCCCTTAAGTTTATTCAACATGAGTTTTGTCATGGCTCTGGCTTTTGGTTTTACTTTGTTCTCATGTTTCTGAAAATTGCTCTATTTCTTGAGATTATTTTATTGCATATTATGTTTCCTCTCAAGATAACTGTAACTTGTGCTCCTATTACAGCACTAGTCTAGATGATGGATTTTCACCTTCTAATTACTGCCATGGAAATTAAAATAGTATAATTACTCATCCTTTTGACATTCAACCATGGTATTAGCTTTTTGTTGCACCCTCTTTGAACCTTCCCAAACTGAGGTCTAGCCACCAAAAGATACGTAAGAGTTTTTCCTGAAAGATGGATGCATCATTTTAGTTTTGCTTCTGTCTTCCAAATGGTACTATAAGGATTAAGGAACCCCTTCCCCGCAATTTCTTCACTTGGAAGTGCACATGTATTTGATATGGAGGAGATTGTTCTGCACATATTTAGGGCTATTATTTTTCTTCTCTTTTGTTTCTTTTAGCTTTACTTTTCTTCTTATTCATTTTTTAAAGTACTCAAATCCAAGAGCTCTAGCTTCATATATGTCAATTCAAGATACTCATTGTATGTGTATATATTACTACTTGGTTTTTAGTTGTTCAACTGAATTTAGTATTTTGTCTTCTTTGTTGTGGAAGCAAGAGAATGAAACACCTGGATGGACCCAATTGAAGCTTCCTGGTCAAGCTCCTTCTCCACGTTGCGGCCATACCATCACATCAGGAGGGCACTATGTAAGTGACATTTGCTTTAAGTTTTTTTATGTTTGATACACTTTCTTCATGGACGACATTTACGTCATTACACTTCAGTTTACTTTTGTACTGTTGTGTTATTACGGAGAAACTGGTTAGGATAGGTTAATTTTAGTAAAGGAAGAAGGATCACCATTCAAAGCTTTAAGTTTACATACATATTCTCAGATGCCATGTTCACCATTTAAGAGCTTTCTTCCTTGGTGATAGACATCACTACTTGAACTAGTAGCTTCAGAATTTTTCTTTAGTGGAAAATTTCATTTGTTTGTTACTTTTACAATTGCCTTACTTTTGCATAAGTTGTCTGCATTCAGCTCTCATGGCAAGTAGTGTAGATTTGTCTAGAAACACTTGGATTCTGACCTACAGGAACCTTAACCTTAAAAAGTTGCTTCATATTTTCTTTACAGAAAGTTGTAGATTAATTTTTTGTAACATTCAGATCTGCCCTCATAAAGGTTGTTTCAGTGATCAGTTCCATATATGGTGATAATTTGGGAAAGCATGGCTATTGTAGGCCGAGCCTTAAATTAGGAGAGGAGGGATGAAAAGGAAAGAAAATGCATATAAAATAAATAAGTTAATATGTTTAATTGTGAATGGTCAAACCAATTCTAAAAATCTGTCACACTCACACACAATAAGATAAAGAAGATACACTTCAATTCTGAATCTTAGACTAACGAGAAGAGGTTTACCCTAGTATCTATCTTTTTGTAGCACTTTGGCCAAAGCAAGTAAATTTCAGTTCTGTATTCTATGGTTGTTGATTACAAGAATCATATTTATATTGATGATGACAATGGCAGATATGGGCTTAGCCAAGTTGGCTAGAGCGGATGTGCTCCCCACCCTGCACCTCAGTTCGAGTCCCCCTCCCCATAGTTTTGATTAGTTTAAAGTAGATTATCGCTTGTATCAAAAAAAAAAAAAAAAATTATTGATGATGACAATGGATATTATCATATCATCTTATTACTTTTTGTTTTCAATATTTTATTGTTGTCTTTTGTACCTGATTATAGAAACTGTATTTGCAGCTGTTGCTATTTGGTGGCCATGGAACGGGTGGCTGGTTGAGTCGTTATGACATTTATTACAATGACTGCATTGTTTTAGACAGGGGTGACTACTTCTTGCCTTTCTGTTTGTCTTTTAGCTGATTTGTGCGGAATGTGCCATCATAATATTGATGACCCATTTTAATTTTACTGTGCTACTACTGTTTTGACAAGCAATAGGCCTACCATTCAACTAACACAAGTGCTCCAATTAAAATTTCAGTATTCAACAACCCATGTGCTTTATTGGTCCACTTTTCTTATGTTAGAGAAGAAAAAAGAAGTAAAATGTATTTCATTGCCCACCAAGATACTGCAGTCTTGAATAATCCTATAATTGAGAACCTACAGAAACTTTTAGGTTGTCGTACACAGATGTCTTGACTAATGCCATTAACAACCACTGCTTAACATGGAAACCTGAAATAGAAAAGTGTGTTGCACTATTAAGATCAGTTTATAAAAATTAGCAAAATGGGGATTACTTTAAATGCCGAAGAAATATTTTCTTAATTATATCTTATATACTTAGTAGACAACTGTATAGTGTGAGACATTTCTAAGTTTTTGATATAGTTGTTTTGATTTCCGTCATTCTTTGGCAGAACTTGATTTACAAAATTGTGAATCATTCCCTACCGACCATACCCAACACATTTTTGTTTATTGACATGGTTTGAATTCTTTCCTTATTTCGTGCATTTATTTATAATTTTTCTTTCCTCTGGAATCAAGTTTCTGCGCAGTGGAAGCGCTTGCCTACTGGCAATGAACCCCCTCCTGCTCGAGCGTATCATTCTCTAACATGCATGGGTTCGCGTTATCTGTTATTTGGTGGCTTTGATGGAAAATCAACATTTGGTGATCTATGGTGGTTGGTTCCCGAAGGTACTAATATGTCTTCTTATTGTTCTCATCTAATCATTTGCTTGTTGTCTCACCAACCACTTTTGAAGATGAACTGGGTTACGTTGTGAACAATCTTCTATGTAACTTTGTTGCCTTTGAGCTTTAAATTGAGTGCCTTAGGTCATAACCTCAAATCTTGTGAACCATAAAATTTTCCTTAAACTTGGAATATTGCCAAACTTTCTAAAAAAACGAAATTTGTAGTTGGTCTTCAATCTATTTTATACCCTTTTTTTTCCTGCTGGAACGGTTACAAAATGTTCAATGTGATGGTGAAAAGTCAAGGTTAGATTTTGATATTACGATTTAACAATTCCAATTTATATCACAATTTGGACGGTAATTTTGGTCATGATGTGCAGGCTCTAAAATCATCATAAGGCTTAAAAGTGGGTTTATTGGAGAAGAGAAAATGCTAGAAGCATGTATTATTAGCTAAGAAAAATATTTCATGATCCTGCTATATATTTGTCCAAGCAGAAGGGGAACTTTGTTTATTTCTTTAATGCCTCATGAAGTTTGAATTAGAACCTAATTCTAACATGTTCTAATTGTCACGTTTTGCTTGTTCTGTAGAGGACTCTATTGCAAAGAGATTACTTGCGACTTCACCAACCAATCTTCCTCAAAATAAGGATGTGGTGATGGGAAATAACAATGTCCAATCTGAAGGCAAGGTATAGCAAATGCCTCTAATTACATCCAACTTTCTATATGGAGTTATCAAGTAGTAAACTGCCTTTCATAAACTTTTTGTTGCCTTTAATCATGTCTGCTAGAATCATGTTGAACTTGGTTGGTTGTTATTCAAACTTTTTGGCTAAAAGTCGGGAATGCATGCATATTTTGACTTGTTCCAAAAATTACTTGCTTACTGCTAGATTTTAACTTCCTCCTAATTTTAACAGGAGAACCAAATGGAAGAATCTGTTGTTTCAGAGTTACAAAAAAGATTAGGAATATCAGTTTATCTCCTTGGTAATGGTGTTCCAGTTGTGGATGAGTTGGAAGACAAAGAATTTGTTCAACTAGCATCGAGTTTGGTTGGAGAAAGAGTTTCTAGTAATCAACAGGTTTCAGATATTCAGGTAGGGTACTTTTATGATGCTGATACTAGGCACTTTGAGTTTTAAATGATAAGTGCTATCTGTGGTGTGAAAAAGTACAAAACTAACAAAAATACAACTCAGGCACTTCGTGACCACTGGAGGAAATCTACACCAAGACATATACCACTTAAAGAGCTTGGACCCTTGCTTCGGGACTACCAACGGTTGATTACTCGTCGTCTTCAGTAAGAACAATAAGCTGAACTTTTTGAGAATTATGTGGTTGTTTTTAAAGATATTACCAGCTTAACTACAAATGGCTAGCTCAAAGTCCTCAAATTATCTTTGGCTGTGCATACAAGATGCTCAAATTTTTTTTTTATACACAAATTTTCAGTCTTGCGTTTTATGTATATAGTTGTGGTACACACAGTAATCACATCATATCCTATTCTAGCTCGTGATACTCACATAGCATGGGTTGTTGAGTTGAGTCCATGACCTATGTTCTGGTACAGTATAATGATTATAGAAATTGTATCACAGCTCGGGAAGTGTTATTGGAAATTTTGCCTGCTCACTTCATTTTTACTTAGTTTATCTAATAGATTTTTCCTAAATTGAAATAACAATTTGATGATATACTTCTAATAAATATTTACCATGCATGCTGTACATGAAGTTAGAATAGGATAAAAAGGGGTTATTTTAGAAAAGCAAGTACAGTGATAGTCAAAATGATGCTGCTAGGAGTCCTCCAATGGTAGGAGCAAGATGATAGTGTGAAGCTGGAGACTCCAATGGTAGGAGTACGATGATACTCTGGACCAGATTGGTTTTGTTGCTTAAATTTGAAATTGGTGGTGTTTTCTGAAACAGATGTTCAAGACATTCAATTAATGAAATTTTATTAATTGGGGTAATCATTATATGTGATTTTTATTTTTTTTTATACATTGTTGCAGGATCTATTGAAATAATTAATCGTTTGTTTTGGATTTATATATGTGTTCTTAGCCATTGTTTGTGGATTTTTTATTTCTAAACTTTGCTCATTAGTTTTTTTGTTCCTTTTTCTCGTGTGGAATTTGCATTGTGGCTATAATAGGGCGAATGATGGATCTCATATGCAGTTCATTGAGTCTAGTTTTCCTGGAAAAGTGGCTTATGGTTTTTATCATATCAGAAATGTTAACCAGGTATTAAATTATGTTTAGTTATGCAATACAATCAAATTAATCATTATCTTTACCACATGCTTATATTTTTCTCTTTCGGTACTTGTCATTCTAGTTTCTGTTTATATATACTTTCCTTTATTTCCCATCTTCTCATAGGTTGTCAATTACGTAATGATTTTCAGTTGCGTATGGATGACATCCCAAAGCTGCTGGCAGAGTACAAACAACTACTGCCAAATTAAGTGGAGGTGAAAAAACTAAAACAAAAAAAAATCTCTGTCCTCTAAAAGATATATTGTGACCAATCTCCATTTTCATTGAAGTTAAGGTATTGTGCTCTCATGTTTCGTTGGCACAAACCTCCACTTGTGAACTCATTGCTAGACTGATTTAAAGATCTTGTACATGTCTACCATAGACTTGTTGAAAGATGCCAATATTACTGTCTTTCTGACATCCTTAGAATCCACTGCTGTTTTAGATGATATATTATGCTTGGTAGACCTTTTTAAGGTATACAGGTATATGTATGTATATATAAATGAATGAACTTCTTAGTACCACTACGTGGAAATTTAAGATTATTTATTGAAACTTCTTTGCATATGTTATAAATGAACTCGATCTCCAAAATCGACTGCATAAACTATCTTGTAAGCGATCTTGAGGTCTGTGTACTGGTTATGATGAATTTCTTCTGGTCGCATCACCCATCCATAAAGTTTGACAAACATAAAGTGTATGCTTGCTTAACAAGTATTTTGCCTGGAAATCAGATTAATTGCATAATGTTTCAACTATAGATAATTATAATAATAGGTCCTCAAAATTCCAAAAATTGTTACCAGCTTTGCTATTGGTGTGAAGAAAATAAAATGTAAGATTCCTTTGGAAAAATTGCATTGCTGTTTTACCATAGAACTTTGAATTTCTCTTATCTGGATTGATACAATGAAACGAGACATCTGCCAAGAATGCAGATTCCTCTAGTCTTTAATCTCCATACATCCAAAAAATTTATTTCCAGAGGTACCAATTGAATATATTAGACAATGGAATCTTCTGATCAGCATTAGGAAATTTCAATGTGTGGGTTCTATGTTCTTGCTCAGCTCCTCTAGCTTCTGCATCCTCAATCTCTCGCTCTCGGTCAGCATCTGGTAAGCAGATTACAAATTGGAAGGATTACCAAGTGCAGAATGGGATGTAACAATAAATTTGTAGAGCAAATGAGAATTAGTACTTACCTCCATCAGTGTGGTTACAAGTTGAGCCTTCTCTTTGTTCTTTTCATTGAAGCTTTCCAGCGCTTCTTTATATTCTTTTTCCTGTTGTCAATGAGATGTGAGTAGATGCATGCTCTATTAGTGCAGTAACTAGGTGAAAGTATAATTAAGCATGATTAGCAATTGTTAAGCACCTTCTTCTGGTAGCTCAGTCCCAGTGGCTTCAGCTCTCGGTTAACCATGTCGATTTTCTTCCTTACATTTGCAAGTTCCTTCCTCATGGGATCTCCCATCACTTCAAGCTCCTACTAGATTGTAAATGTATGATATAATTTCATTATGAAGTAATTTATGTGGCCATCTAAGAAGAATAGGTCCTATAGGCAAGTCATTTGGGTTCAAATTACTAGTGAACCATGTTACCAAGCCCTCCTAATCAAGAACAAAAAAAGTATCCAACAAGGTCGAAATAAATTCAGAATAGGATCCTTATATTTTGTGTCCACAATGCATGTCTAAAATCACATCGTTTTAGGCTTCCAATTTTATTTTTTAGTGGATATCCATAGTGGGTAGGGTACCCTTCTAACCTTCAAGTCATGAGGCCTAGCTTTGCCTCTATCGCGTATTCAATCAATTAAATGTCCCGCTTAGTAACACTACAACACTCAACATTTTGCCCTTGATTACCGAAGTAATGTTTTTTGGACACATGCTTGATCCTATTTCAATAGCTTGAGAGTCTTAACATAAATTGATAAGCGAATTGTGAAAAGGAAAAATATTCCAACAAAAGTTTGTTGAACTTACTTCCCAAATCTGTGCCAAACGCCTAGTTTCTTCCTCAGCACGACCCAATTGAAGTTCAACTTTCTCCTTAACTTCCATCTTCTTCCTCTCAATCTCTTCCTCTCTAGCTTCCCATGCTGATATTGCCAATCTTGAAACTTCCTCATCCTCGCTCTCCTCTGTTGATAGCCTCCCACTATTAGAAATGCTCCCAAGGCTCTTCATTTTCTGCATTTGTCACAGCTCCAAATTCAATTTGGCCTCTATCTGCATCCACAAAACCCACCTCCTATAAGTATTCTTCTTATTACTTCTATATACTCTCTCCTATTGCTTTTGCTTCAAACTTCTCTCTCCCCTTTCCTTTTCTGGTAGGTCTTCTCTCCTCTTCTCTTGCTTTCTTTTGAGTACCTCTGTCAGAAAGGAAGAGAAGACAAATTCTAAGTGCTCAAAAGAAGACAACATGGCCTAATTGACTTTTGTGGTGCATTTTGATCTAGGTCTTTATCCCATCATTATCAAAACCCCTACAATTAGAGCAATTAGTGCATCTCCTATTGCAATCTCATTTTATAAAGAAAAATTTTGTGGAATGTTCTCGTCACGTGATAGCGACAAGTCGTGGAATAGTCCAGTTAAAATGACATGTACTTGAAAAATAAAAGTCAGTCGTCAAATTTAGATACTTATCATCTTCTCCATATTTGAAGCTTGGAGATAATATTTCCTTCAATTTTATCCAAAAGTAGTTGAAATGTCAAATTTCGACACAGAAACTTTTTCTCAAATGTAGGTAACTGACTACGCAAGGAAAGTACGGCAACCATGGCTCAACATTGCTTGAAGCAAGAGGAACTGTGTCAAGCAACAATACCCTATATATAAATAATGCTTGGTTAATATAAGCTTATTTGCTTTCCTTTTCATTTTTATTGTGCCTGTCATTATAAAGGAAAACCAGTTACAAAAGTCCACTTTTCAGGTCATTACGTCAGAATCAAATCACTTGCAACAAATACTTAATTGCACAAATAATTCATTCCATAAAGACATAAGAAAACATAGACATTAAAAATAAAAATAAAACCATAATTAGCAAATGTAATGATCCCAAGTTTGCGAGAAGATACAGCAACATAATTAGCCTTACCATAACATAATTAGCCTTACCATAACGCATGTGAGAGAACTTTGTAAGCAAGTAATTCTAGAATCTAAACATTTCCACTACAGTTGACAACATAACATTGCACATATTTGCCAATCAATCATAACAATTTTTTAACAATTCTGAATTTTCGGAGGAACCAAACAACATACTGGATTAATTTCTAACAAAATCCGCCTTTGGTAGGAAGACGAAAATGAGATAATGTCATTTTCATTGAACAAGTGAAATGACCACATATCAGAAGCAAACCTATCCTTTACATTCCTCGAGGGAAAATTGTTTCTCACAGGATATGTATCGTCAATTACAAGCAACTCAGAAAATGTTACTACTGTATATCTTAAGCGTAAATGGGAAACGAAAGAAACCAAGGGCAGACTGTAATTGATGATAACGTCTGCTGAAAGCCAAATCAACATAATCGGAACTATGTCTGAGGAATGAGGGGGAAAAATCACAAGAGCAACACACATTTCTCATTCAAGCAAAGTTCACAGGATGCTACACTATAGTATAAACACTCTCTGCCACGAAGTGAAGATAGGAGGAATCAGGGTACAAAGGCAATATCTTTGAAGTACTCGTGCTCAAGAGCAGTCCTGGCCGTAATCCTTTTGCTGGGATCCAAGAAGAGCATTTTCTGGAAGATAAAAAAGCAAATACTTAAATGATAGAAAACCAAACTGCAGTAGATGCTTTCCTGTCGTGTTTAACAATTATTTTCTGCTCATCTATCAAGCCCACTTAAATTTGCTACATGTCATGTGGGCTGACAACAGAGAGAGTGTCAAGAATGAACATATTAAAATTTGCAATCAACAAACCCACTGAACTCCTCAAGTTGTGGCTGAAATAAATTCATAAAAGGAAACTAAGAAAAAAAAATGGACAACATGAATCACCAATAGGACTTGCTTCCAGGGGATCGAAGCGCAGGAAACTTCTTTTTTTATTTTCCAAATTCGATTATCGAATTTTACCAATGAAAATTAAGGTCCTTCTCTTTTGGCAATAGGGGAAACTACAGTACTCCCCGTATACCATACTAACATCTTTGTGGGACTGGCTAGGAACTCGTGTAGGACGCACAATTAAATCACAGTGTAGATGTACATATATGAACAATTTTTTCCCAATGGATTGCATAAAGTGAATATGAACTTACAGAGAGAAGATCAACAGAAACTACAGTACTCCCCGTATACCATACTAACATCTTTGTGGGACTGGCTAGGAACTCGTGTAGGACGCACAATTAAATCAGTGTAGATGTACATATATGAACAATTTTTTCCCAATGGATTGCATAAAGTGAATATGAACTTACAGAGAGAAGATCAACGCCAGCAGATTCAAGATTTGGAACTGCAGTTGCCAAGTCCTGCAAAGTCAAGGATGCTTCTCTCAATATTATGAGTAACACATAGGTTGATGATTTTATAATGGGACTAGATAGCAACACGCATAAAGTCCAATTACCTTAGCAAGCCACTTAGGAAAGGAAGACTTAAAATCAGGCAAAGAATTCACTCCAGGCCATGTATCCTCAGTTGGAGTACCCATGATTCTTCATATGAAAAGCAACAGTGTGAGTACGACAGGATACATTGAGGATGATGGGATGCATAACATGGTCTACAGCCATCTGGCTGCATGTCTTCCACGAAAAGGAAAAAAGAAGGAAAGAAAAGCATAGATTTGGTTGGGAATCTTTCACCTAAATATCTTGAACAATTCATCAATCTCAGAGTCCCCAGGAAATAAAGGTCGTTGGTTTACCATCTCAGCAAATATACAACCCACGGACCACACATCTACTGGAGTAGAGTAATGGCGGGAACCAAGCAATATCTCCGGCGCTCTATACCAGAGAGTCACCACCTACGCAGAACCACCAACAGTTAAATCACTTAATTGTTTTTTTTTTTTTTGGTTAAGACTTTATTGTTAATATTAAAACACAAACACAGGCACACTAAATAGCGCTCAAATGTGAACATATCAAACTACCTAAATATTGCTTTCAGAAATATTAATTTTTAATTAAAATACATGTGATTTTTCTGGGAGCAAAGCAGTTCAATTTTGCATCATATTGCAACAGACGCACTAAATTGTGCTCAAGTGGTACTAATTGCCACATTTTTTCTTTGCCTTCTATTGCCATTAATTACAGTGTGAGAGGAAAGAAAACTGATCTGAATTATTGCAACAGCTAAATGTCATAATATGAATCACTCATACCTCATGAGTAAATGTCCTAACAGGAATACCAAATGCTCTAGCCAGTCCAAAATCTGCAAGCTTTAGTGAATTGGTACGACGATCTATCAGCAGATTCTGGGGTTTCAGATCTCGATGAAGAACTCTATGTGAATGACAATAAGCAATGCCTCTGAGAATCTGATAAAGGAACATCTGCAGAAACGGGACACGGCCAAACAAGATTTCATTGTAAGATTATTATTGCAGTGGTCTATTGTCAAAATCAGGATGGATTACATAACAATATAACAATTTCAAGCATGATATACGGTAACCTCAGTAGAAACCAGAAGTAAACATCATAAGCATCACACAACATTGGGCCATAAAGTATTTGAAATCTGCTTTACAAACTAAGAGAAGAAGTACACAAATAAATAGATGACAAATGTAAAAGCAGGAAGCTAAATAAAAAGCCTACAAATGATAGCCTCTTATACTTATTCACGAAAGCTAAATTTCTTAAATAAAATTAAAATTAAAAATTAACACCCACACCTCTCTAAGATTACTTAGGCCCGTCAGTCAATTGGGCTAGGTTCTATTTACTTTAAATTATTAGTTACTTCTTTTGTTTTCCTATTCTTACTAGGATTTGGTTTAATTTCCTGTTTAGGTTTTTACTTTCCCATGTCAATTAGGTTTTCTGTCTTCTAGTATAAATAGGCTAGTTAGAGACTCTTGTATGGAGTTTTTGTTGATGAATATAACTTCAGACATTATATAAATAGGCTATTTAGAGACTCTTGTATTTAGTTTTTGTTGATGGAGATAATTTCAGACGTTAGTCTATACAGTTTCTGTTGGGATTTTGCCCTAGAACTCAATTATCTTCGTTCCAACTTCAATTCTATTGCTTTATCCTTCTCTTATCTCTATTTTGGGTATGTTTGGGTCAAAGGACAGCAGCTTATAGCCGCTGCCCTGCATCACACATGCATCTCCATTCCAGCCCTCTCTAACCTTGCCAAAATTTCCAAACCATGACAGTCAAGGGATGGACTGCACCTGAGATGAAATACTATAATTGGGTGATCAAATAACTACTAAATGTAGCAACTAGGTCAATTAAAGGTTTGTAAAGACAAGAAAGCAATCGCTCACTTTTATTTGGCGAGGATCCTTTGCAAACTCAGGAGTAGAATCCATATGCTTCTTCAGATCCAAGTCGAGGTACTCAAAAACCAGATACAAACGCTTCTCACTTAGAATCCATATGCTTCTTCAGATCCAAGTCGAGGTACTCAAAAACCAGATACAAGCGCTTCTCACTGTGCACTACATCCTGCAGCCTGTTAAGCAAATACCCATTAGAAGAATTTGTTAAATATATCTTCCCTGATAGACAATAAAAGTGTAAGTACCAAATATGAACAATTTTGCAACGTAAACAAGCCATAAGGAAATATGGTGGATGCCTAAGAAAGCAGATTAAAAAGTTTTCAATATACTGAATTTGTCTTCTATTTAAAATACATTCGAGAAGCACTGAGTTTAGGACACACCCCAATGACTTTGTTTAAACATCTCTATGAGGATCCCTGTTCCACTAATTTATTTTTTGGGGTGCTCATGCTTACACACCAAAAGAAACGCCACTTTCCTGGTCAAGCTCAAATAAGCCAGGCAAAGCAACATGATCAGAGTGAAGTAAATAAACAGTGACTAACTAGCTCAGTCATGTTATATTTTGGATTCTTTGATACGTTAAATTTCCATTTAAAAGGGAATGAATATAGGAAGAAGAACATGCTATAACTTGAAGCTACGATGCGGTCAAAAATGAAATATTAACTCAAGAGAAAAGTCTGAAATTCATAGGTCTACTTTTCCTCGACAACTGGTAATACCTTCAGCATTTTTATGATTCACAGAAACTGAATGCCCAAACATGAAGTTGAAGCTGTCAATACATGAATAATTTTCTCATAAAACCCCTTAATGAAGAAATTAGTCACAATGAATTCAATATACCTGACAATGTTGCCATGCTGCATTTCTTTCAAGAGTGAAATTTCGCGTATGGCAGTGCTTGGCACCCCCTCATCTTCCTGCTCTAAACGAATCTTCTTCAAAGCTATAGTCTCATTAGTGACACGATCACGAGCCTTGTAAACCACGCCATACGTTCCTTCACCAATCTTCTCAACTTTCTCGTACTGCACAACGACAAACATCAGAGTCATAGAAAATAAACATAAACAAAGTAAAATCAAAGACCCAAATTCACAAAAATGGCACGTCCATCACTAACCTGGTCCATCCGGTCTTTCTGCTCAAACCCAGGCCTTCAAAGCCTATAGGAAACGGAGAAAATACCCTTATCAGCTGTAAACATAGTTGCCTAATTCGCTCACCCCCTACGAATTTCGATCTGGATCGACCGTAACCAATCGCGGTACGGTATCGATCTGGAACGAAAGATTTAACGACTCAGTTCCAGAGGAGAGAACAGTACCTGGTAGACGACGTCGCTGCTACACAACAGTACCTGACCGCCGACAGCAGACGAGCAATCGAGGGCACATGAGGGAGAGTGCTATAGCTGATGAGCCCACGTTTGATTCTTGCTCTCTTCGAATAAGGGGAAGGAAGATATTGGGTTCGTAGAGGATTTGTTTGGACGAATGGATTCCAAGAGAACAGCCCAGCCCAGGCAAGGCCCAAGGCAAGGTAGGCGCTGACGTCAGCAAAGGAAAAAAAAATTTAATCGAAAATAATTCTGAAAAATTACCAAAAAAATTCAAAAAAAAATATATGCATACCTAACAAATTTTTATTTATTAATCTCATATATATAAATAAAATTAATCACATGTGAATAGTAATTGTCATTGGATTGCCATGGCAATGGGTGGAAAAGCACACAAAAAATTGCTAAGGCATATATTATTCATGTGAACAGTAACCATCCTTACTTGCTCTTACCCCTTATCATGGCAAATGGATGGAAGTGCTCTAAAGGAAAACGTACTAAAGGTTGGGTGGGTGGGCGTGTCAATATAATAAAAGTATTGCTTCTGGTTTCAAGAATTCAATCCCATTTTCTTGGACCCTATGGTTCAAGGAAGTTGTGATTACCTACCCTTGAATTTAATCTAAAGGTTGAGAAAAAACTGGTTTAAATATCAATATGTCATCTTTTATTTTACTTTTGTTGCAGTAAAATACTATTTTGGTTATTAAAACTTTTTATTTATTTAAAGAAAAGCTTAATATCATAGATAAAAAACATGAACAAAAAACTAAGACCGTCGTCATGGGGAATATTCGCAAGTTGATTCTTCACCCTCCAAGCATTCTTCTATGTCTTCCTCCTCAATCCTTGCTAAATAGACTAGAGTAAATAGACCACACTCGAGGGGTATTGGTCAAAGGCCCTCCGATGACAAAGTCAGTTAGATGATCTTGAGAAAGATACGAAAATAGCAGAGAAGGTTGGAGTTCTCTCTACGGTACGAGAGAATCAGGTAGCCAGAACCGTATGTGTGGTTGGAGCTGTGTGAGAGAGAGAGAGGGAGTGAGGGGGCGATAAGAGAGAAAGAGAGAGTTTGTAGGGTTTTTGGAATTACCTCATGTATTTGGTGTAGCCATGTATTTATAGTGCTCTTGCTTTTTATGGTTTTTTAGAGAATTATTCTCTCCCTTAAATGGAGAGATTGAATCAATTAGAGATTTAATGAAGATCAAATCCCTAATTTATGTCTAAAACAATTGACCTATTAAAAGGAAACACAATTGTTGACCTAAGGAATATTCCTATTGTCCACGTCGCGTCTCATGATTGGTTGCCGAAATATTAGATCCCACAATGCTCACGGCCCTCTCCGGAAGAGCCAATTCACGACGACAAGCCATAGGAAATCCCTCGAATACTCAGTCCACCAATACGTCTTGCAGGCAGGACAACCGAGGAAATCAACCTCCGAGAGTCAATGAGGAAGTCGATTAGTGACGCCCGCGTCATGGGAGACACCAACGTGAGCCGCAAGCCTTTCAAGTAGAAGAAGTCGAGAGGCTCGTGAATGACCGACTTCGAAACTTGAAGATTGGAGGAGACTTGGACGATACCTACGCAATGAGGTAGACCAAGTAAACTACTCTCCTTTCACCAATGAGATCGAGTAGGTGGCCCTTCCAAGGCGATTCACAACGCCATCTTTCACGTCATACAAATGGGATTCTGATCTCAAGAGCCATCTGAAGCATTTCAAATGTCATGATTCTCTACAAGTCCAAAGTTGTGCTAGCACTCGTCTTGATATGCCGCACAATGACTCCTTTGTCATCAGCATCCAGATTGTGCAGGTCGTGATCGACCGACTTCATGTGGACAAGGGCAATACAACCAACATCTTGCAACTTTCAGTTGTCCAGCAGATGGGCATGGAGACCAAGTTAGCCAAGTCACTGACCGACTTCATCGGGGTGACCACGGTCACCGTAGGAATAATAGAGCTCTTTGTATATTCCCCACCGATGATCAGCTCACAAACATTCATGATCATAGACGAAGTCTCTCTATACAATGGTATCATGGGCAGGCCATGGATTGGCAAGATTAACGCCATCACTTCTACCATGCACCAGAAGATTCGCTACCCAATCCTTGGGGGAGGTGCCGAGTAAATCAATAGTGACCAGGCGATGGTGAGAAGATGCTCAGTCCAAGGGCTGAAGAAGGGCAAGCAGACTCGGTTCATCTGTGTAAATCAAACAGATCAAAAGGGAGGAGAACAAGTAGGGGAGGAAGCAGATCTCATTCATGGTAATCGAGCAGACAAGAAGGAAAAGGGGATACCTATTTCGCAATAGTAATCACGGTGGAAGGACCAAGACGAGGGAATCTGTCCAAAGGTCTCTCCTAAAGAAGGATGGAGGCCCGAGGAGGATGTTGAGCTAGTACCCATTGATCCTAACAAGGCAGAGAGAAAAGCGTGGATCGGCTCGAGCCTAAGCCCATAAGGGACGCAACTTTACTCCCGAGCTCTTTTTTATCATTTTGTATCCCTGTCACAACCACTTGGTCATGATAGTCGAGCTCTTTTGCATACTCATATATCTCTAACAAATTTATGTAGTCTAGGAGACACCAATCCAAATAATCAACAGACCCCTCACATAAAACCACCACTCATTGAGGTTCGAAGACTTTACCATTCTACCTCCATGGTGTACTTCAAAGGTGGCTATTCCTTTGTCATATGCACAACAAAACATTAAAATATATATATATATATATGCTTTAACCACTACCTAGTCATATGTACAATTTAAAAAGGACAACACAACCACCAAACTACCGATAAACAGACATGGAGCAAGATTCACATACAACTAACATTTTTAAAGCACTAAAAGAACCTTTAAGAGCACTTCCAGTAGTGCCCCCCCAGCCTGGGCAACAAGGGGCCCAAGCCCCCATTCTACGTTCCAAAGGGCTTCTACAGCTTGGCCAGCACGTGGGTCCCAGAAAACCGGGCCAGCCCAAAGGCAAAACGAGCTCGTGCTTTAGCCTGAGGGCTGCTGACTTCAAGGCTGACACCAGCCTGATGCCAACGGTAAAAAAAATTTAAACTTTCGTGCACTGATGCCAGGCTGGCGCTAGCCCTGATTTTCGCCAACGGCTAGAAGCCACGTGGTGTGTTCTGGGTTGTCCGATCCTTTTTTGTCTGATAGGATCCGACCTAAATTCTCCCTCGGAACTCGTGTCGAATCCTGTTACAAATTCCGGCACCCGAACAATGCCAGACTCACCACTAACTTTACACCTCTCACCCGTACTTTTAAGAAAAATGGGTCGAGACTTCTTCCGAAATTTCAGCAGAGTCTTCCCTGTAAAATGGACTTTTCCCAAATTAACACCCACAAATAACGGCAATCTAATAATCCCAACTGGCAGCACACACAAGATAAGGCACACACAAAATTCACATGGCCTCCGGCCTCAAATTCAGTCATAAGTGGGAAATATCATAGCAACTATTGGAGTTAAATTTACAAAGTTAGTTTCCAAATAAACAATGAAAACAGAAAATGAAGTTTCCTACTAGGTAGAACTACGAGGACTTCATCGACGCCATAGTAGCTTGCATGCTCGTCCGAACTCTAATCTATCTACTTCATGGGTGCGCAAACAGTAAAAGCATGAGTGGACAAAAAGAAAGTTTTTCTTGAAAGTAATTATACATAACATACTAACCCCTTTGTTTTCACAAACCTTTGAAAACTTACTAAAACTCAAGCAAATATATTTACAGGAACAAAATATAACAAATACACATGTAGGTAAAACACCCTCGGAATTAATTGGAAAGTAAAGTTTCAATTAATACAATCTGGCATTTCAAACAACATTTAAATCCAAAATATCGAGTAACTCAAGAATATAATTCAACAAAACTCAAGTTTCAAACCATTCTTTAAATTCAATAAATCAAGCAAGTTCAAAAATACAATTCATCCAAAATCCAATCTCAATCCAATTCATACAAAAACTCTCCACCTAAGTATACCTATGGGGAAAAAACTGGCCAACCCAGTGTAGTATATCGGCAGGGTGGTAGGGGAGAATCTTGGGGAAAAATCATTGGCCGGACACTCGCATTTGTGACACGAGTACAGTCAATACACTGACGGCAACTGGGGAATGGGGAAACTAGTAAACCACCTATGTAGACAATCGGACAAGTGGTGGGGGAAAATCCTAGCTGGACACCCACATAAGTAGGTACATGCAATACACTGGTTGGACACCTACAGAGTAATCTCTATGTAGGTATAGGCAATTCATTGGTCGGACACCTGCGCAGCGTAGCCAACATAGGTACAGGCGATATTGTCACACCCCAATTTTTTTTTCTTATATATATTTTTATTTTTATTTATTGGAAGTGTGAGGTAAAAGAAAAACTAAAACTAAAAATTTAAATAGCAAGAAACCTGAGAACTGAACATAGACTTCTATTTAAACCAAAGTAATTTACATTGTAATTTTACAAGCAAAATAACAAGAAAGTAACAAACTTAATACAGTCAAAACTATCCACAACTCGTTCTTCTTGTTCCCTCATCACCTAAACTTCAAATTCAAAACCTGCAATAGATTCAATAAGGGGTGAGCACTACAAGCTCAGTAGGGGTCCTATGTCTTATGTGATTAGTGAGATTTATAATGTACAATTTATGCAATGCATGAATGAACTTCAATTCTTACCCAACCCGTTAATCCATATAATAGGGCAAGCAAATCTGCATGTCCCATACCATGCATTTTACCATTGTGATTCCGAATGCCCCATTATATAAACTAACACCCATCTCAATTATCCCATAATTCCCTTTTTGCTAGTCATCTTGTCCACACCATTGATCTCCAAGCCCAAATCACCCAATCGACAATTATACCGCCGATTTCCTAGTCTACTGTGCACACGGGCTCACCTGAACTTGGTCCCTACAATGGTCAGACTCAACTACACAAAAGATCCTTCCCATTACCCTCTTTTCCATAATTTCTTTATTAACCCAAGAATTCCAACCACCACCGACAACATATGAACATGTCAATATTAATCAAATTATAATGATA